GTATATTGTAAGTACTGTGAGTACAAAACAACTGGAAATAATAAGAAAAACTTAATCGAGAGAGTCATAACCATGGTGTTTCTAAAATATTCAGATCCTATACCGGTCCGGATTCACTTGTAATCCGTTGTATGCAATTATAAATATAAATATTTTTACTATTATTTTTTTTACATCCTTCCAGTTCATTGTACTATTAGAATTAACATAACAACATTTTACAATTAATAAATCCCTGTTCCTTTGAAAACATAGTATTTTGTCTTTCTAGTGTAAATTATTGCTATACATATTATATGAATATCATTCTAACAAATAGCCTACGTACATGTTTAAAGTTCAGCTATGTATATAACATATTAAAATTGTATCTAATTAGAATAAGATCATTTTGGGCATAGGTATTTTAAAAACAAACGAATAATGAATTATGGATGGGTGTTGATTGTATTTCTTAACTCTAGAAAACTCTTCATATACTTCCAACAATACACAAAAACATATATGCTAAAGAACTTTGTTATTTTTAATTAAAATGCAAACCTTTCCATCGGTGCTGTTTCCAAAATACATATTGTGTTGGGTAGCGTTTGGTACACCATCTCTGGTACAGGAGTTTGGAGGATTATTGGAAATATTCCTTTTAAATATATTACATTCCTTCCTATATTTTATGTATATAATTTTCGAATGTAGGTACATGTATATTGTAGTAAACAACAATTGTTCATTTTAACTTGCTATGATGGGTGCAAGACTATTTGAAAGTACTAGAAAAATAATTACATTAGTATTTCATGCCAAGACATAAATCTAATTACCTCTACAATTATTCTCAGTCAGCTTAATATTACCGTGACTCTTTAATCTTATGTTTTCTTGTAAACTCCAAAGTGCAGCGTAGACAAATTGTTGGCCATTAGTCCTATACATTTAAGGAAGTGTCTTGTAGAAACAAAGCAACCATATTCTCTGATATAGCGATTTTTTTCCCAATTTCAATTACTATGTTTATATGTATTTTAAATGTATCTATTGTGATACTTGTTACTGACTTTATATGTAAAAATCTATCTGTCGATTAGTTACATTTTACTAACCGGCTAAAAGGATCTTAATGACATTTGACTTGAACATTGTATTACTAGGACGGACGTAGGCAATCTTTTATGTTAATAAAATCAAAGGAAGTTGAGGATTACAGCCAGTGCATATTTACTAACTTCCACTAATTTAAATATCACCTACTTATATATCTATCTTTCACCAAAATATGTCCTAAATAAATCACAATAATGTTTATTTTTGGTATCAAAAATTTACTTCCATATTGAAGATGATTTCATGGTCATTTCATTACCTTTAAAATGTTTTTGAGCAAGAAACCTATTAATAATCTTCAAAAAGCCTAAATTTCATGTCTATTATGTGTATTATTTCAATTGAAGTTTATAAATATATATACATATATTACTTATATATTTATTTTATAACCAACAATTAAGGTTTATTAATTGTTGGTTATAAAATAAATATATAAGAATTTCATGCTTCAGTATATCAGTGCAGTGCAGTATATCATTAACCAATAACTAGGTAGCTAAGACTCTTATTATTTAGGTACAGTTTTTAATTGTAGGTAAGTAAAGCCTTTACGTAAATAAAAGGTGGTGAAATAGGGGATTAAAGTATGTATGAGGTATCGATAATTTCTCAAGTAAGGGATATAATACTTATACTAAAAATGAAAAATTAAAGATCTGAAGTGTATATTTATAGGTTATTTTTGCCATTACTTGAAATAGGCATAGGAAATAGAAATAGACATATCATGAAATTAAGATATAATAGTAATTAAGTTCGATAATCAGTGAGTATTTAATCCTAGCGATCGCGGTGGTCATTACAACAGATAATTATTATCTGTCAGCTACAATATTATCAGGTATATTTCTTCCATATCGATATCCACACTAATATTATAAATGTGCACGTGGCTCTGTCTGTGTGTTCCCATTTTTGGACTAAACTGCTGGACGAATTTCCATAAGTTTTGGGATACAGATAGTTGAGTACTTTACAAACATATAGGTCTATTCTTTGTCTTGAAAAAAATATTTAACAGTTTGTATCGGATATCAATCCCGTTGTCATGTGTAGGATATAACAAGTATGAATCTTTAATATTTTTAGTATTTTAATAAATAATACAGAGATTAATAGAAGAAAAAAACAAGCTACTCGAAGTAATAATTGTATATAATAATATATAGAATTATTACTTCGAGTATAATTCTATTTAAATTTTTATTTCATTTATATTATATATTCTCCATATTAGTTACTAGTCCGCTATGTATAAAATATTACATGAAAATAGATTGTGTCATGAGAGATATCTTTCATAAAGAAGTCCAAATTATTTTGTTAATTTTAAATAGCTTTTATTTAAAATTAACAAAATAATTTGGACATGGTGGAATAAAGCATGACTGGATGGGGAATCAATCATGGGACATATACTTTTCATAAAAATGAAACAGTCGAAGTTCAAATTCAAATCAGATGATGTCGCGGGCATAGCTACTAGTCTATAAATATAATTTTGTACAATGATTATGTCATTCCATAAAAAAATAGAAAATATTCGGAGCAGCGTTGAAAGTTACAAAATTAAGAATTCATCTCGAGCAGTTGTTAGCTATAAATATATTATGTCCGCGCTGTAAACAGATGTCCCTAGCCATAAAGAGTTAATTATCTAAGAATACCCTCCCTAGTATACCGTCGGCTCAAGAATAGCTCCCTTGGGAACCGTTTGTGCTTCGCCTTTCTTTTTATTTCTGTACTACGCTGCAACACGAATATAAGTATTTCTATGCATAGAAGATTTTATAGATAGATTTATAGATGTACGACCACTTTAATAGTACTTTCACACGTTTGATATATTTCCTTCTTTTGAATAGCTCATTTTATATGTTTTTAAGTGTCGGGGAAAACTTTTAATGGTTTTATTATTGTTATATCTGAGTCTGCGACTTTGTACCCGTGGTAAAATAGTCTACAACTTAGCTATCAATCGATTGGAATAAAACAAACACAAACTTTAAATGATGTTTACCACAGTACAGTACAGTGAAAACTGCAGATAAAACGTAATTTTTGAGAAACAGAAAAACAATAATAGTTTTATTTTCTGATACCATCATAGGGGATTTTATGTGTGTATATCATCTGTGAACAGATACCGATCAGTTAATTACATTTTTATTACAGAGGACATATTGAAACAAATATTTTGGGTTTCACAGTTTCTATATATTTTTACGTGTACTGTAATGTGTTCGTGTAATAAATTATTTTATTATTATAAACCTAACAAGATAACGAAAATTATTGTTGTTATCATATATAAAATTTATCACAGTTATGAATTCAATTACACTTAAAAAATATACATAAATGTTATTTTAGATAACAAACTAAATATTTATTGGCTTGATGATATGACTACCTAAATCCTCTCTTGCATACGTCATATTGTTAATGTATTCATATAAAAAAATATGCTGAAGTTATGTAACTATATTAGTAAAGGAGATACGCAATAAAATATGTAACGTGGTTACATACTTGATGAAACCTATCATACGTCAAGTTTTGGTCCGTTATATTTATCTCGATAATTAGTTGGCTTAGAGATAATAATCAGAAACTGATCACAGAGATCGAAGATAATAATAATATGTACATATTAGTTTTAGCGAATACAATTATTTATTCTGTAGTTACGAGATTAAGTCACTGTTATTTCTTTTATTTTAATAAATAATATACAACAACCAAAATAAATAAAATTAGAAAAGACTTAATTATTTATTACATTGATGACGTAGAATATAATGCTACTATATATGAATATAATACTGTCATAATGAACAATATATTGTACTATCTGACTTGTTTTGTTTTGCCACATAAAATAATATCGCTATTACAAAATAACAATATGCATTTTTTTCATAACAGATAATTTTTTTTTTCCATTTTAAAAAATTATTTGGTATGAACTACATTTTTCACTTAGGGGTATAAAAACTAGAAAACAGCCTATTCTTAGACCTACCATGTATACTTCATACAATTTCATGAAAATCTTTTAAGCCATTTCGGAATAGTATGGTAACTAATACTATAACATGAGATGATCATATTTTTGTATAGACATAACAGATAAATATAATTGGTTTGCCTTCTACTCATGATCGCCTTCAACTACTCTCTGGTTTTACCCAATGGTTTAAGAATGCCATATATACCTACATAGCATTAATCTCAATTGTACCACTTTACGAGTATATGTATCGTAAATAACACAATTATATTATATAATATACTTGATAATGCTCATTGAAAATCTCACGTAAAGTTACTAATAGCGAAGGAAACCGTGCAAAGTGAATGGCGAGGCAATAAAAACATGTAAATGGTGGTAACTCATAAAATAAAAATGCTCACATAAGCAGAACCATTCCCGTAATGGGATTCCTTCCTTAAATGACGACAAGAAGCCGAGATTCCGCCACCTCGGATCAACGTATGAGTAAAGAAATGATTTTATGAGCACTTTATCCCCTAAATATTTATTTCTTAACATCCTATATGCTCTCTGTTTGGTTTTTTTTTTTGTTTTACTTGAGATGTTTCCATGTTTTGTATTTATCTCTGAGTACTTGATATTACATGTTGAAAAATCTAAACCTGTTTTACGTAATGCAGATTGCATTATACAGTCTTCTTTAATGCAATTCTAAAATACCTATAACTATTTTTCATCTCTTAATTTTCCTTTTCCTTTCATTATCTCTGAATTAATTAATAGATTTCAGAATTACTATATTAGATAGACTTTATTTTATTATTAATTATCATTTAGTAATTATTAAGTAACAAGTATGGGTTATTATTAATAATATAATTATTTTCAATTGTTACAGGTACACAGCGATCGTATCGTCCACATAGAAGTGCTACATTATGCATGCATCTAATAAATTACTTTTATTATACTGGATAAAGTCTGGCCATAAAAACTGTAAGCCGTAACTGTCACATTACGTTTAGTGTGGCAACTTTTGTTTCGTGCGACAAAGTGCCGCGTCTGTGATGTTGCCAGCTAAGGCCGTAAAAGGCGGCATTGCCGAAAATTCGTGGAGATATGATGATGCTCCGTAAAACTGAGTTATTTGGTCCCAACAAAATGTTACTGACGGCATATGCTGCTTTGCTTCTGTGGAGGTTCGACTGCTTGGTCGAGAGCACAAAAGGTAATAAATATTTTTTTATACATATTATAAAATCTTCATAATTTTTCCTTTATTGTAAACTTCTCAGTAGTCTAAAATAATGAAGGAAAAAATATTTATTACGCTACGATAACAAACTGCATAGTTAACAATTTTGTATGATAAGAATTTTTAATATAAATAGTTTACTTTCTTATGACATTATGCTGCATTTAAGTTGCAAATAGTGTCACTAAATAATTACCCGTGGTAGACTGTAAAAAAACGTTATCACGGATGGATATCTCAATCTCGCCTTTTTCAGTCGCCAATCAATTGCTTTTAGTCATAGGGTAAAAGGCGGTGAAATTACAGGATAACAGGTATGACATATAAGTCACAGTCATTAGTCACATCATATTATATTACATACATACTACTATACATGCACGTATATAGGCGAAAATTACCACTTGCATGCAGGTTGCAGGGCAATCAGCTTACTTGCCATTCCATATACTAAGAATGACTATAAACGATAGTGCGTGTTATATATATATAATTTTATATGATTCTCTTATTTTATTGTTCATTTTATTACTTAAACTGCATAACAGAATAGATATCTAGTTCTTTTATTTTTATGTTTGATTATGGTCTAACTTTATTCGAACTTCAAACTTCTTTAAATTTGAAATCTTGTTTGTATCCGTATCGAAGTTTTAAAGCGAAGTTTTCCTAAGAAAATAAACTAAAACTAACCTATAAAGAAGTTGGAGCGATGACTTCGTAGCGTTTATGTTGGAAATAAAAGCGCATAAGTTACTGAATTGTCTCAGTGCAATGCTTTGAATTCAAAAGCGTTTAGTACTACACACGTTTCATGCTCGATAAAATTGTACTAATATTAGATACGTGCACGTTTGTGGAAAAGTTTCGATCCAAACAAATGATGTTTGTGTAATAAAAAGTTAAAATATTACAATCAAGAAGTTTCAATTTACATTTGTCCATTTAAGGTACTTAACTAAAGTACTTTAGTTTCAATTATACCAACATATTTTTGTTACAACGCTACGCATAAATAAAAAAATGTTTCTAGTTAGCCTTTGCGCCTTAACAGCTTAAGAAATTGTAACCGCAAAGACAACTTGTAGAATGTTCTTTTTAACAACACGAGTAGTAGAGAGGAGTTTAAGAATATTTTTTAAACGAAATTTAGACATAATTTACAAATGACAGACATAATTCACCTAAATAACCTGGTGGCTAACTGATTTTAACAATAAGCAATAATAATACGAAAATAAATGTAGGTACTCGTAACATACTGTTCAGGGTATTAAAAAATAAAAGGATATTCTAGAAATGTTCCCTAAGTTATTTTACAACGATTATCGCAAAACTATTCCAGCTTTTCAAAATTAAGTAGTTTATAAAATGAAGGTAGGTAAAACATATTTCACTCGAGACTTCATTACGCAATACTACATATTTTCTGAAAAACTCGAAGGTAAACGTAAAATTATAATATAAAATTTAAAGGGGGTTTAACTTGGTTAGATCTAACGCTGCGATTATAGAGAATTGTCATTTAATATTTACTGCCTAGTACTGGATCTTATGTATTAGGCATTGAATATCAAACGATTATGTACTAAATCCTCTTAAACTCAATAGAAGTTTACTATACATACTTCTATACCAATAATATGTGTAAATATATGTATATATATGCATGTGTCTGTCTATCTGCTTGTTACCTGTTTTCCTGATAAATTGTATGGCGCAAACGGATATAGCTTGTGTTTTATCAAAAATAAAGCTAATGAAATCAAAAACAGCCAGTATGATTTAAAAGTTACCTAATTGAAGTAATCAATTAAATTCACGGTGTTACGTGACGCATTAAATACTTTGCCTATTTCACTTAAATTACAAGTAATTCAAGTAGTCTAATTTTCTTTTATTGATATGGTTTATTGAAAGTCTAAAAATAATTACTTATCCACTTAAAAATTACTTTCTAGGATAAAACATGGCCTTTATCTAACCTTGTGATAACCAAATGACATTATAACATGTTTTTTAAGTTATCAAAAACAAACAAACATAACATATAAAGATATATACTCTAAATATTTGTTTAATATAATGTTAGCACTGATATTAAAATTATGACCGCTCTAGGTTTCTCTCGCTACCTTCTCATATCCTTACACCTTTATGTTATCCAGATACAATTTGTTTCGTCATTCTTTCATCCAACATTCTTTCCACATGCCCGCACCTAATATTCTATTTCAGCGTGCAGTAATGTAGACAGTTTCATGTCGCAGACATGTTAAGCTATCCGCAGGCGAAAATGGGACCTATTTCTTATTTATACGAATCTGTTTTATAGACCTTGTGCTCGAAATATAAAGAAAATATTCCTTGTATATGTATGAAGCTTTCGTCTAGCGCACACGTGTCTCGAAATCACAAATATTCTCAACACTATTCTAGTTAGATCTGTGTCTTTTTTCTGTGCAATTTTATGCTTTCTTTCACAGCAGGTCGCTTACCAACTAGACAAAGGATAAAATTTGGCACATTTTGATTGTAAATTATCCACGGGAAGGCGAAAGATAAATGTACACATTTTGTTCCATAAAAAAAACAAACCGACTACGTCCGTATAGACAGAATTTATATAGGACCAACATACCGCGATAATAAAGTAGTTGTCTACTAAATTTTATCAATATTGGTATCAGCCATATCACAAAAAAGAGACAACTTTTCTTTATTAAGTCTGTTTGCGGCATAAGTGAGTAACAAAAATTAGAACACTCTTTCATACTTAATGCACGCTAGAAATAAATCGTTGCCAGTTTCACATATAAAACGAATGTTTAACCAAGCTAAACTTTGCATAAAGTCCTCAGCATTGGTGCATCTGTCTCATCGATCGATTACAATTGAATTTGGAAATATAGAATTCATGCTTATAAAAATATACAGTTCTATACTCATTAACAAGTAACAGGTGAAATGGAATGGAAAATAAGTAAACAAAATGGAAATCTTACTATTTCAATTTTAGTTTCAGTTTAATAGATATTGTGCGTACACGATTTTTCAAAGTATATGTAACAGCAGCCTAATAAACTAATTTATACCTTTAGGGTACGCATAATAACTAAATGGGTCCCATTTGATAGCAAGGTATGGAAATTACCCCAATAAATTTGAGATGAATTTCGTCAAAGTCATACCTAGGGCCAACCTAATTGTCCCATTATAATTGATGGGTTTCTTTAAAGGAACATATTTTGAATTGTAAATTAAAGACAATTTAGATTATGGAAATTTCCCGGGAAAATTAAAGACGTACGTATTTCAATAATGTTTAATTATGTAATGTACTGTATTTACGGTGTTATAATGATAAGTTGTAACTTGTTTTTTTTAATTTAAATGGTAGTAATTTATTTACTAGTTACTCACTATTGGTAGATAAATACAATAATCTGTTATTCGTTTAGATTTATTCCAACTAGCATATAATATATAATATATCACTAATATATTTCTTTTATTGACATTATTTTTAATCATCGTGTGGTGTTATAGAGTGCTACTTGATTAGGTTTTCTCGTAAAAGCCTATGTTTGTTGGAGGAATATTGCAATGTTTAAGTTGTTATAATAATGATGTATAAAATTATTACAATTTTTTGTTTACCTAATTCAAGAACAAGTGAAAAAAATGTATATAAAGTAGAACAAATGTACATCGATGTTCCATGCGTGTCTTTTCAAATTAGAATTTTGTAATTTTATTTTTAAATCTATTATATGACTATTTGCGATTGCAAACAGCCTAGAGATTTGTTTTACAATTGTTGTAAGTTGACAGTGCAGTATACTTCATGTAGAGCTGCGTTGTATAAGTAGTAGGATTCTTTCTAGGAAGGCGGAGATTGTTAATAATAGGCCTTATATCCTTTCGGCTAAATATCGTGTCTAATTCGTTGTACGATTACCAAGCTGGAGTAGCTGATCTGACTTTAGCCTGGTACAATTAGTCATTTTATTTAATTAATGATTACATTAGTATGTAAATTTTTTCAGACATTGTAATTGTTGTTGTCGTTTGATTTATCATCAACCAGTGCTCACTTCGTTGAACGGTTAACATTTTTACTTGATTGTCTCGCGTAATTCTAAATTTAAATTATTTCTTAAACAATGCAACCAAAACACCAGCTGTAGAGAACAAAATTGATGGAATATAATTGCCTTGGTGATAAAGCAATTTATTTCTGAACAGACTGTCGTATTATATATATATGTACAATGTAATAGAAATATCACTGACCATTACCTCACACACATAGTATATAATATTAGTATAGGTAGATGGCGTCTACATATAATCGTCATTATACACACACATAGTGTCGCGGACATAACCATTAAAAATAATAAATAAATAACCTTGGACAATTAACACAGCGCTATCTTGTTAGCTTGTGTTATAGGTACTAGAGAACTGACATAAATACTTAGATACTTTTTTTTCTAAGTATATACATAATATCTATAGAAAACACCCAATCATAGTCAAGAGTCCAAATGTTTGCCCCATGCGAGGAATCAAACTCGCATCCATCGGAAGTAAACCGGTGTGCTAAACCGATAGACCACAGAGGCCATCAACTAGTTTTTATATAAAATATTCATAGTGAAGATTATGATGTCTTTTATATCTTACCTGACCGATAAACCCGTAGTGGCATGTTAATGTTACGCCTACAGTGCGAAATTCCTAACACATTTCTCCCAGGTGTCGCTAAACATAAAGGTACCCCTAACGTTTTGCCACACCTGGTGATATAGGATGTAAAGTGTATTCATAATATATTACATACCTATTATGTGATGTTTACCACTTTTCATCTTGTAGGTCTAGTTAATCTGTTTAGATTGATAGCAAGTCAGTATAAATAAATTGTTTATTATAAATAATGGGCTATGTTACAAGGTTACGAATAA